GCAGACGACTCGCTCGTCCAGACACTTATGCCCGCGCTCATTCAACGATGGAACAAGGTGTCAGACCAATCGAGAGAAATGTTCCCATTGCTGGAGTGCCTCTCATATGTTGCCACGGCTCTCGGACCCAAATTCGCGCCATACGCAGCTGGCATATTCGCCAGGTGCATGAAGATCATCCACCGCAACCTCGAAGAAGGTCAAATGGCGGCTGAGATTCAAGGTTTCGAGCCTCCGGACAAAGACTTTTTGGTAACAAGCCTTGACTTGCTCAGCGCCATCATCCAAGCCCTCAACTCCCAGGACAGCGCGACACTAGTCACACAAGCACCAAACTTCTTCAACCTACTAGTTGTCTGCATGCGGGACCCAAACAATGACGTGCGACAGTCTGCATACGCACTTCTCGGAGACTGCGCCATCTACGTCTTCCAACAACTCCAGCCCCATCTGCGAGACGTATTGACCACCCTCATCACACAGTTAGACGTTTCGCGGATAGATTCTAACAGTCTCGACACTGGATACTCAGTCATTAACAACGCCTGCTGGTCCGTAGGCGAGATTGCCATGTGCCACAAAGAAGGCATGGAGCCCTATGTTGAGCAGTTGCTCCAGAAGCTGGGTAACATCCTCTTCGACGAGCGCGTTCCAGAATCTTTGAACGAAAACGCAGCCATTGCTCTCGGTCGTCTAGGTCTTGGTAGCGCGCCCTTACTCGCCCCCCATCTCGCTCAAATCGCTCCCCCCTTCCTCCGCGCCATCAGGAAAGTGCAGTGGACGGATGAGAAGTGCCACGCACTCACTGGGTTCATGTTGATCGTTCTGGCCAACCCGGGAGCCATGGAGCAATCGCTTCTGGAGTTCTTCAGCGATATGTCTCAGGCTGATCGGAATGTTGTACGCGGACCTACGGCTGGTCGGCAGGTGCAGGAGACGTTCCAGAAGGTGAGATCATTTCCACTTGACATTGAAAAGTACTTTTAGCTAACACCGTGACAAGGTCATCCAGCAATACAAAGGCATGATCGGTAACTTCGACGCCTTCCTCGGCGGCTTGCCTTCGGAGCAGCAAGCTCGCTTCCGCGAATTGTACTCGGTATGAGTCGAAAGCAAAAGAGTATCAACTTCCGATATCATCAGTTCCCACAGTGTGCTACCGCGGCGTTGAATAAGGGACGAGGGAACGTCTGGATCTTAGAGGAAGAGAAGGGAAATAGGGAAATACCAACAGGCGCATCACCGTCACATCATCTACCGTGTGTATATGTGTGCAGGTCCATGTGACCCTGATAGGAGGAGGAAATGGGACTAGTGATAGCATTTTCGGCAGGCAAATAGGGCGGGGTGGCGGGTGAATATCTATATAGAACATGTGTGTCTTTATCTTTCTTTTTCCAGCGAGCGCAGCGGTTTCCAGTTGTTTATGCGACGAATGAAGAGGCGATGATACGCACGCACGCACGTATGAGAACATTTCCAAGGCGTTTTGTTTTGAGCGGATGTAGGTAGTATAGTAGGTAGTCTTAGTTTAGCTTAGTATTAGTTCAAGTTTTCTTCTCTCGAGCCACGGCGATGCGTCTTAGTCGGTGGTTTGGAGCCCTTGGTTGCATGCTTACGGCAGCTACTCTTTGCTAAGCCTGCGACGCTGAAGCTGTTGCTAACGTGTCTGCGCGCTCTCCTCACCTATCTCCAGAGCAAAAAGCAGTGTAGCGAGGAGCGCAATCACTTCACTCCCAGCTCTCACTCGACTCTTCACAACCAGCCACGTCGCCTCCATCGCTCAAGCCGCTTCTACTCCGTCCTCACTCACCACCACAGCCCAATGCGCAACGAGCAGCAAAAAAAATGGCCAAAAAAGAAGGTTCAAATGCCAAAAACATACAACAGCGGGGATTCGCTAGTGGTCACCCACCTAACTACTAATCCGCCGGTACACTGCTTGTATATGGCTGAGCGGACGGGAAGCCTAATTCTCAGTGTCCTATGGTCGTATGTGGCAGATTATGGATTTGGGGGGAATATGTAGCAAATTGAGAAAGGGGTGTGTGGAAGGCGGAGGGAGGCGTCGGGGATGCGTGGCGGGCGTCGGGGGAGTGATCTGGTGTGCGGGAAATGCGAGAGGGAGTGGTAAGTTGTTGGGGCTTGGCGATGGAATATTACTTGGGCTGATGTGGTGGTTTGAGGTACTTGGACTTTGGCGCTCGCACTTGGTGTAGCCCACGTGATCTGGCATAGCGCAAGATCGAGGGTCGCGGCTGCGACATGGCGCTGCCCCGAATCACTCCAACACCACATAGCTCAGCCTGACATTCAGCGCGCAACCTTGAATCTATTCGAAACAGCTTGGTGTATGGAGGACGCACCTCATATAGCTCCGGTGAAAGATTCAGCGAGGCTGATTCGATGGCCGGTGGACGTCGAGGGTAAAGATGATCGGTGTGCTGGGGTAGCCTTCAGCCACTTCGCTGACCAATCCTGCTGCCTTGGCTTGACGGCGTTTTAAATGAGATCATCCACGATCACAAGGCTATGCTCATCAATATCCAGTTCTGATGCTTCAGTCTCCGCGATGAAAGGAGGAACGAACGCATAATGTCGGAACTTGTACTTCGTCCACTTCCCTGCGGCTCTCGAGCCCCCGAGATCGACGCACCACCGGACGGAGTCAATTCGTCGAAGGAAGACGCGAATATCATAGATTCGAAGTTACTTCAGCAACGAATCTGCACCTCCTGCCAGAAGATTACACTCGATCGTCTCTTGAAGACACACTGCGGCTCAGTCGGGGCATGCTGGCTTGATTTTAACAGTGGTCAGCCCACAAACTGCCCCATGTGCAGAATGATCCTTAAATCTATCAAAGTTGGAGACGAGAACACCGGAAATATTCGTCTTGGGTTGAGAGTAGATGACCCTCAACCGAAAACCGACATTTATACTGGGAGACGAATCCGGGATGTTCGTGTAACAAGGGACCAAGTATTCGCTGAGGACTACTTTGCAGATGGGTTGCTTCGCATATATGCGGAACCAGGTGAGTAACCCGCTTCATCCGTCTCTGCAAGTCTGAATCGAGGTCTGATTTTGATAGATTCATACGTTTCGAAATTCGGACCGAGAGTGTGTATACCATCTTCTAATCTCTCAAATGCTACCTTCCAGAATATCTCTAGCTGGATTAAGGTGTGCGACCAGACGCATACAAGCTGTTGGAACCACTCATGGCAGTCTGCAGAACCAGAGACGCGATATTTGCCTACCAGAGTTGTCCATGTTGGCTCAGCAACTCGACAGCCACGTCTCCATATATCTCAGAGACACCAGAGCAATCGCTACATCGCGTTGAGCCACTGTTGGGGGAAAATTCCACAAGTCAGAACGTTGAACGCAAACATCGAACTATTCAAAGAAGAGATCATACTTGGCGATCTGTCGAAGACTTTCCAGGATGCGATCAACGTAGCAAGACGGCTGGACATTGAGTATATCTGGATTGATTCATTGTGCATAGTGCAAGACGACGATGTGGACTGGCTTCGGGAGTCCGAGCGCATGGGTGGCATTTATGCGAACGCCTATCTCACCATCGCTGCGACGTGGACGGCTGACGGGAGTGGTGGACTTGACAGCATCCGCCCTCAAAACGACTGGATTAGAATACCTTGCGACGGCTCTGACGCAGCTAAAGGATATATGTGGTTCAGCGATGCCTCGTGGACCTCCCAAACCGATCTCGATGACGCACCACTGAACACGCGTGGTTGGGTATTTCAAGAAAAAATACTTTCGCGGCGTATCATTCACTTCGCTTCGACACAAGTGTACTGGGAATGTAAGCAGCGCTTTTTTGGGGAAGAAAGTGAAAACGACATCCATCTCAAGAGTGCAACCCCGGTATCCTCACTGTTCTGGGCTGACGTGAATGCCCTTCCTCCTATTATACCGTTGCCCTGGGAACCTAGGGAAGATCTCAACCCGCTGTACCGCTCTCCAAGATCACAACTTGATAGGTTTTACGAAACCTGGAGAACCTTCGTTTGCTACTATTGCACCAGGAATCTCACCAAAAAGAGTGATCGTTTGATAGCTCTGCGGGGTATTATCTCAGTTGTTGAGAAAAAGACAGTGCTTCGTTGTGTCGATGGTCATTGGGAAGATGGTACGCGGAGGTTCGTGTGCGAACTAATGTGGGTTTCCAAAGCAGACAGAACCCTATCGGTACTTAATGACGGGCAGCCTTCCAGGCTGTGTTCTTCATGGTCGTGGGCATCCCTAGAGGGTCCAGTAGAGTACAACTTCGACCTGCATAAATGTGACGGAAGCTACGGCATGGACGAACGTGAGCTTCGTCTCGAGGCAATCGAAGACAGCGTTCGAGTCCCTTGGCCAAGTCGCCCTCTGAAGGTTTCGGGAATACTACGACCCACCTGCAAATACGAACTTACACAAAATCACGATAGCCGTCGGGGCAGTAAACGCACCTTCACCGCAGGAATATCTGGGTATGCTGGCGAATGGGTTTGCTTCGACCGCAAGGATGAAGAGCCAGAAATGTTTCAATTCTCTCCCGTTCATATTCATGAGGGCAAGATTGTATGCCTTGCTTTACTCGAGAGACACGAACCCGAGAGCACGGAGCGTTGCTTTGAGCGCGTAGGCGTGGGAAATCTTAGCTACAACGCCATCGAGAACTCTTTTGAAGCATGCGAAAGGGAAACGTACTATATAATCTAACTATGTCGTCTTTCTGGGAAACAAGTCCGGACGAGAGAAAACCACCGGTGAAACTCAAGTTCAGAATCTGTTTCAAGCCTATCAATGCGCGAGGGTGCCCAGAGCCTCTTGAACGCAATAGTACCTAACTAGGTGAATTGTCTGTGCGTTCATAGACACGTGCACTAGAATCTAACTTGACTTTGATGTACCCGCTTTGCATATTTGTATCTAAATGTAGGCCATAAACCCGCTTGACCTTTTCTTTGCGTCGCAACCATCGCTCACACGATACTGTCACCATACAGACTAGGTGTCTCATAATCCTTCCTCTCACCCGTGAACCTGCTCCAGTAGACCACAAACATCGGCCGACAAACAATCGTCAAAACATCCTCTTTGCTAATCGGCTCTTCCGGCGTGAACTCTCCAATAGAATGAGCCAAGATCGGTCGAACCTCCTCTTTACACCACTTCGCCAGTGCCTCCATCTGTAGTGGAAGAAGTGGCTTCCTGTCCTTGCGCACAACAATCGCACTTCCTACATCATTCTGCCACGGCATAGAACACCATCCCCAGCCCATAGATCCGGTGCTGAAATCGAATTCGGCGTTAGGATCTAGACACTGGTGAAGGAAGGTCGCGTTTTGGTTGTTTGTAGGACTGCTGTGTTCGAACATTTTGTCTTCGCTTTTGTTGGCCCACTTCGGATCTGGCGGGCAGCGACGCGTCAGGATGGGTATGCCAATTCGGTCGGCTATGTCGGAAGTATCATGCTTGGTGAAGATGGGATCGGTGGTTGGGAGTTCGATGACTTCGAAGGGTGGTCTCTTGAGCATCTTCACGTCGCCCAGACAGTTGATCCTTACGCCCTTTACACGCTCCACTTTCGCCTCATTATTGGGAGGAATGTATCCACACGACAAGAAATAGTCGGTGACATGTCTGAAGTCAATCATGTCAAGGTCCTTGCAAGCTGGTGGATCAAGACCTTTACCCGCTCTGGCATAGACGACGATAGGGCCCCTCCAATCATGATACGTTCCGGGTTGTGTGGTAGTGATTGACGCTATGCTTTTGTTTGGCCGAGAGCCATCTTCCAAGAACGTGTCGCGCCATACGACGCATATGGTGTTCGGAACGGACCTTTTCAGCCTCGGGTTGTATTGCATAGGCATATCCTTCTGTAAGGTATCCTCGCCAATGATTTTCTTGTAATCAAGCGTCTGGTGATCTGGTCCATCTTCTTCGTCCTTGTCGAGCAGCCTGGAGGGGAGCCAAGTGAATTTCGGTTTCGTTTCGTCGGGATCGAATATGACTGCACGATAATGATTCGCACTTGGTCGATTCGTATCAGCGAAGCTGGAGAATGAGGGGCAGAGTAGCTTGTGGGTAGTCCAGTCAGCTTTCTGACATGTCTTGGAGCAGTAGGCGGTGGATTTGCATCGTGCACAATAGTTCGCGTTCGGTTTGTTGCATACTGTGCATAGCTGCGGGGTTGAAGCGCTCGACATGGTGGTACCCCGAGATGAGCTTGAAGGAGCAGCTGTGTCTTGTATATGTTGATGAGAAGAGTAGCTCATGTTGCTACCGCTATCGGAAGGATGTGCGGGGTTTATGCACAGGATGTCGCACAGCATTTCCCTCATCGAATAACAAGTGAACGCATGGCAGTGCATGCGTCTGCATGCCGCGCGTCTATGGCATGCCTCATGTATCTTCCATGGCCTCAAGTTACTGGACTTTCAATCTGACCCCTGTTCAGAGACTCACATCGACTCTGAATCGCTTAATGGAGAGTCTTCGTGATATCTAGCTAGGCAGCATGGTCCTATACGCATTCTACTGAGCTCCTTTCTTGACCAGTCTTGATCAAAGCAACCACGGCTCAAACTGGAGATACCCAGCCATATCCGGGTATTCCTCTCTCTGCTCATCTGTTTGCCCGTTCTCAAACTCCGAATAGTAATCACATCTTCCTGTCGCACACGTCCAGAACCCCAAGTTAGGTATTTTCGTGTCAGCTCCCGCTTTATCCTGACGACTGGCTATTCCGCAGTGACACTTGGGATCATCACTGCTCATGCCGCGGTCATCATCCCATGTCATCCACCCTGTGTAGTGATCCCCTACACCTTGCGTGCCTCTTGTCTTGCAACGAACACATTTGTAGTACGGACGGCCTGCGTTGCCTTTCTGGTTGGTCGCCTGGACAATGTTTCGGAATCTGGGTTGCCAGTTGCACCGGCGGCATCGTGGTCTGGGGTAAAGAGGAAATTCCGGTAGTTGGTCTTCATCCGTGGCTCCTCCAATACGGAGACTTTGGAAGTCTAGGTTGCGTTAGACCCTGTCAATTCAGACACGTGTGAGTATAGTGATTGCGTACCTAGACTGTTGGGATCTGCATCGTCATGGGCAACCTCGCGCCTGCGAATCGTTGCCATCGTTCCTTGGGTCCAGCTCTTCGAGCGTATTTGGCGAACGAGAAGGATTACAGTTGTGATACGAAGCGATGATGAGGGTAATGAGAGGCCGCCTCTGTCCAGATTATGTGCCCCGCGCCCAGCTCAGTCTTGTGTAACAAGGACAGCAAACACACTGCGCCTATCATCACCCTTTCGGTAACCAATGCGGCAGAGTTGCATGATACTGCTAGAATCTTCCATGGATGTTGATAAGTGGCTGTGTATCGCTTCCGCGAACAGCACTTACGAATAACTTCGATCGGATTCAAACTGCAACGAGATATATATGGCATAGTCGCTACGGACTCCATCCATCACTGCTACAGCAGGCACTCCATGTGAGTTTCCGTCTAAACCCAGCAACCCAACCTTCATCGTTCACTGATGACCACAAAGACACTCCGAGTCTCTACAAGCCCTTCCATCCTGACACAACGTCAAACGAGCAACAGCTCGCAAAGCCACCAACTGCTTATTACTCAACTTAGCACTGTGTTGATGCTGACAGTTTCCAAATTTCTCTAGATAAGAACACTTCCCAAGCAAATAGAACTGGTTGCAGAGCCTGCGACCTTTCATGGCCATGAAGTCTTTGGACGTGTAGCTCAGCGGTGAGTCCACACGTTCGCCGGATTTGTTAAGAAGTACTGTAGCAGCTGTTGTAGGCTGCTTGGTGACAGAGGGGCTCTGGGCTTTAGACGACGAAGATGAAGAAGGCCCTGTTGGAATCTGCGCAGCGGCCGTTGCGTAGTCTGTCGATGGTGTTCGCGGCGGAGTCGGGAGAGACACCGTTGCGCGCCTAGGGGTGACCACCAGCATTTGGCTCCGGAACACCTTGTCGAATGATACAGTGTGGTATCTGTCCTTAATCGCAGCTAACTCGCGGGCGAACGGCGGGCCTTCCAAGAGGGTGATACGGCTTCGCACTGCGTCGTCTTCGTTGTATGGGCCTAACAGCCGGGCATAGCCATTATCGGCTGAGCCGCCGAACAGGATCTGTTGACAGTGCATATCCGCTAGATTATGCCGAAACATTGCTTCGAGCAGTAAGCATTTGGCGTCTTGCCTGGATGACACATGACTTACCCTTGATCTTCTCATCCGAACACTCTTTGCCGTTGCCAGCATCAACATAATCACACATGGGATCGCCCATGTTGAAACCACGCACGAAGTCGTCAAATGAAGCTAATTGTGGGAGAATCTCCGCGTCTTTGTATGTCTTCGCCAGGCCCTTCATGTTTGCGTAAACACGAATGACCACCTGTACGTGGTGGTTTACCGCAAGTAGAGATGATCGGAGTTCTTCCTCCACGGCTTGTTTGAGTAAGCCTGTTGCTCTCTTTCCACCTTCTAGTCCAGCTTTCACAAGGTCATCGTTGAACTGAAGTAGTCATTAGGGAGGGTCGATGAGTGCTGAGAGTGGACATACCAGCATGCAATCACCATCGATCAAAACGGATGCGAAGGCATGACGAGCCTTCTCAACTTCCAAAACTTGGATCTGCTTCTTGGCCTCTTCGATACGATCGCGTGTCAACTTGATCACGTCTTTTCGATCACGAAGTTCGTACTCGGCTTCTGACAACCGAGCAGAGAGATCAGCCACCAATGCAAACAAGTTCTGGGTTTGGAGTAAGTGACTGAAGGATCGCTGAGGAATGTCTTACTTGCCTTGATCAAGACATGCTTCTGATCGTCGTTCGTCTGGCAAGTGTCCCACACACCTCGCAAACACTCCAACTGCGCTTGCAGATCCGCCATTCTGTGATCTCGAAACGTTGCAGACGCGAGATAGTCTCAACGATGAGACTCTTGCAGCAGAAAGTCTGGGAGAGAGCAGAAATAAATAAGGCTGGCAAGGACTGGGCTCACAGGTAAGTGCCTAGAGGCGCAGCACGAGGCACGTTACACAGCATTCGTCTCGTCGAATACTCTTCGAACGCATAACAATGCAGGCGCCAACGAACCGCCCATCCAATCGTTCGCATAGGCAGCATATGTGCATCCATCCTCATGTGCTGTAAACCCCGGTCACATAGCCCCAGCGGCACGGTCCGGTGTGTTGAATGTTGCCTCAGGCATCTTTTCCCGAGAAGAGTGTCGAATTTGAGGATTTGAAGTGATAGTTGGCGCTCGATGTCATTGCGCAGTTTGAATTGGACGAACAGAAGAACTCGTGTTTAGCAGATACGCCGCCACCAGCGCTTGCAACCAAATTAGGTTGAGTACGACCTGTCGAAGATATGTTTCCATCTTCCGTGTTATTCCAGAGGACAATTTAGTCTGAACACGACTCGAGTGTCGAATTCAGTGATGGTTCGAGTTCCTATAGATGCGATATCACAACGCAACAATGCGATAATGGATGGCATAGGTAATCACATGGTCGCTAACCTTTACCACAGCCCAAGCTGAGGCAGATTGTTTCGGGCACTCATGATCTCGCGATTGGGTTATAGGAAGATTCTATGGTTGTATGACAGCGCGACATGCGCGCTCAGAATAAGGCTGAAGGTCGGTTCCCCGCTCAGCGCCGCGGTACAGCTACCCAGGCAAATGATGTACCTTTGAAGGACCGATAGCATGAACAGACGTATTAAAAGAGATCGGTCATGTGAAAAGACAAAATAGATGGAAGAGCACATGCGGATCTCTGAATAGCTATAGTGGTTGATGATGCAGGTTATTGGGTAGTGCAAACGCTGATCGGCACCGGTCTAGCCTCGGCGATAGCGTGAGCGGCTGGACGATGATGGGATCACAGCAGTGGAGGAATGAGGCACAGGTCACAGCCGCTCAACACTTTCCCCTCAATCTCGGCCTCGTAGGGCGCGTAGGATTATAAGACCTCTCTGCCCCCATCTGCCATTGTTGGGCATCGATAGCACGCTGAATCATCCGCCCCGCTTCGCCAATCGCGCGCAACACGGTACTACTACCATCACGCCCAACGTCCCGTACCGTCCGACGTATCGCTTCGCCGCCCCACAAACAGGCTAGCAGGCTATTTATCAGCAAGCGCCCGTCCGAAGTTGGACGAGATGGCCTCGCGCACTTCGACACCTTCGCGGTCGCGTTCCTCCTCCAACAGCAGCAGCTCTTCCGACACCACCATGATAGACGCGCCGCCGCAATCAGCCAGCCGCCCAGCGCGCCTCCGCAACCCTTCGCATTCGCGTAGCGCCGCACTCCCCACGCCCACAGCCTCCCAGATGCCGACCCACGAAGTTCTTCCCGATCCGTGCTTCTCACTGCTCTTGTCTCTGCCGAGAGAACTCCGCGATCGCGTCTACACGTATGCCCTGGTTTCCAACACGCCGTTCCTGTGGCCCGGTGCCGTGTCCCAATCGGCGTACAGCAAACATCGCCATGTCAGCGTGAACCTCCTCCGGACCAACAGGCAGGTTCACGACGAAGCCGTGATTGTTTTGTATGCACAGAACAAGTTTCTATTCACACATCCCAGCGACTGCAACATCTTCCGCGTCGTCACGTCTCCCGCCTCCGCAAACATAACCAGCGTGTACATCCGCATAAAGGACAAGGACCTGCCATTATGGACGGAATATATGGGAAGCGGGAAGGAAGTGAGGAGCCTAAGAGCTGATCTGCCTAAGTTGAAGAGTCTCTGGGTATTCCTCAAATTGGGAATGTGCCCACACTTCATGTCAGGCGTACTGGCTGGGATACAACGCCCAATTCTCGGACCCCAACCAGCGGGACACCTACCGGCGGTTCAGAATGCTGTGGGACATCAGATACACACCCTACAGCAACATGTCCAGAATGCCATAAACCAGGTCATGACTACCGCCGGCGTGCAAATCGTCGGCGGCACAGGCGGCCATGCGCATACTCCTGCCAACGCGAACCAGGTCCCGCCTCCGCCTCCACCCGCGCCCGCGATGCCTTTCCCGCAATTCATGCAGGGGGCGTTGGGGATGGGTGGTCAAGCGCAACATCACCAACAAGCAATGCCAGCACCGCACGCCCACGGCCAGCACAACCACCCGCCGAACCCCAGTCCGCTAGCACAACATCTCCAAGCCCAACAGGACAATCCCACCGTCCAAGTTATACACCCGCCCGCTCAACAAACACCGCCACCTACAACCCCCACAAACAGCACAGACCCCAACAAGCTCTACTCCGGCATGATCCGCTCCAACCGCTTCAAAGTCGTCACATCGCTCTGCCTCCAACTCCACGACGTCCTCCACACCAAACCCCCTCCGTCTGCGCTATCCCCCGTATCCTCCACTTCCATCACCCCTACTGAATCGTTCGGCACACGACTACGCCAAATCTCACAACATCGACTAGTCGCCCTCGATCGACCCTGGACTGATCCAACTACTGGTGCTAGCGCCACGTCCGGCAACCCCTCCCGCCCCCTCAGCGACAGCAAGTCTTCCTTCCAAACAACGAAATCTGAGACCCTTCCACCGCCGTCCAACCCGGAGATCAAGATTGTGACTATAGTACGACCGGGCAAGAGATTCGTCAAGAGGCTACTTGAGACTTTTCCGGATGAGCTGGAGGTTGATCCCGTGACAAAGGATGCCAGAACAAGGTTTAGAAAGATGCATGGCGTGGATGTTAGTTGGGAGTTTAATGGGTTGAGTGATGTTGAGGCGAGCAGTGTGGGAGGGGTTGTGGTTCCTTGGGATGGGGGGTGGTGAGAGGATGGGATTGAAGGGGGGAAGGTCAAGACAAGATTGTTATGATGGTTTGGAATTCGAGGGGACTATTGAGGCGCTGTATTTCGGCCGGGTGTTGCAACTTTCTCATCTTGGGAACAAGACCTGGCCTCTTTCATTAGACTTTCATATAGCAAAGCCCTAGCAGCGTACTACCCACCCACTACGCATAAACATAGCAAAACGGCCCCCCAACCGTACTCATCGCCTCCCTAATCGTCACATTCCCAAATCCCACCCACTCCCCCAGAGTAATAACATCCTCCAACGTCCCCGCCTCCCCTGGATCCCCCACCCCACTCGTCCCCCCCGCAATCGCCTCTTTCCTACTTTCCAAATCCAAATTCTGCCACGTCCAATACACCCTATCCACCATGGCATGATGCGCAAAGAACGCAGGATCCGCAGGCGAATTAATGAAATCAGAGCCTGCGTCACCGCCAATGGTGTTGTGGCCGCCGACGTGGGGGCCCATTTTGCCTTGGGCGAATTCACCGCCGAGCACGGTTTGGAAAGAGGTGATGGTGGTGTTGTCTCTGATTAGGGCGGCGACGACGGAGTCGCTGGTTTCGGCGGAGGATTGGAGCGAGATGTCGCGGGAGAGGCAGCGTGGGTTGTAGCCTAGGCCGTTGGGTTGGGGGTTGGGGGTCGGAGGGGGGAGGGAGACGGCGGCGAGGGGGCCGAGGTTTATTGTCCAGCTGGAGGGGGTGTTAGCAATGGGTGTTGTTGGAGCGAGGAGAGATGGGAGGGTGGTAGTTACTCTTTGAACGGACCGGAGGTTACGCAGCCGCCTCCACTTCCGGGTTGGAGTTGGATGTAGCACTGTTCGGTTGAGGGGAAGCAAACTGAAGTTCTGTTTGCGATGTATGCGCCGTCTCCTGACATGCTGGTGTCGCTGCCGTCGAAGAAGGGGGAGGCTTTGGGGTTGTCTGCCCAGTGGCCCCTTGATGTTGGCGTAGATGTCAGTATTGGTCTCATACGGGTCTTGATTGATTTTACATACCAATTGTAATAAGGCTGGTATCCTTTATACCCGCATTCGTTCCTGAGCATCTGTTCAAAAGCCCAAGTATAGTATCGGTGCCATGTCAAGAAGTTTGCCGTGCCATGGATTGTGAACGCTTGTTGGATATGAGTTACGACTATGTCATCGTATCGGCTCTTTGCTCCTGAAGCGATGGCGGCCGGTGTCTTCGCGGGTAGTTTTGCTAGACATTTTACGGCTTTGATGTAGCTGCGTCTTTCCTGTTTGCTTAATGCTGACCTGGGGTATGTGAGTCCACGCAAAACGGCACGGTGGATGTCTCGCTCACCAATCTCGACGAACGGCTACGTTATCGAGTGTGCATGTTCCTGGGCTCGGTAATGGGTTCTCGGAGTAATAGGCTTGCATTCGGTGCAGACTTTGGGCAGCTAGGGCGTCTACTTCATTAGGCTTCCCTATGCTCTTTGCGCCGGTGGTACTGGCCAAAGCCATTGATAAGACGTTGGAGAGCTTCATGATGCTAGGGTACGAAAGTATCTGGTGGTGAATTGA